GGTGTGTGTGTCTACCCCAGCCCTGCTTCCCCTATGACCTCTTGCCCTGCCCTTGGGAGGCCTTGAGAGGCTACCTCACCCTTGACCAATTTCTCCCTCCCCTTCAGTCTGAAGAAGGAAGCTTATGAAGTAGAAGTTCACCGGCTGCTCAGGTATGGCCTAGGGCAATTGGGATATGTGGCATGGGCTGAGGGAAGTCAAAATTGAGGGTCTTGGGCCAGTAATTTGTGGGGCCCACTGCAAAATGCAAACAGAGCCCCTTGTTTAAAAATTATAAGGGCCTCCCCTGGTGGTGCAGGCAGTTGAGCTCTGCGCTGTGAAGCTGTCTGCATTCTCCGCAGCGCAGGTTCGATCCCAGCCTGCTGGCGAGGGTTCCACATGGTGCGGCAGACCTCTTCTGTCGCGCCTGCTGCTCCCCTCAGCAGTGCATTTCATCAGTCTGTCTGTTTTCTTCCCCGCTCTGTCTCTGGTGAATCTTCTCACCCTCCTGCGAATCTGGCCTGTACCCCAGTTCTTGTATAAATAAATAAGTCTTTAAATAAATAAATAAACAACAAACAAACAAATAAATAAATGAAAATAAAAATTATAAGAATTGGGCCTCCCTGGTGGCGCAAGGGGTTGGGACGCAGCCGATGAACCTGTCCGCAGCCTGCCAGGGAGCAACCCACATGGCGAAGCAGACCTCTCCTGTCTTGCCTACTGCTCCACTCAGCAGTGTACTTCAGTTAATCTGCTTGTTTTGTTCCCCACTCTGTCTCTGATGAATCCTCTCACCCCCCACACCTCTGGCCTGTACCACAGCTCTTGTATGCATAAAAATAAATAAATCTTTAAAAAAAAATTATAAGAATTTCAGGATAGCAATATCAGAGCATTAAACTGAGGACATGGCCTTGTGTGACATGCACATGAGGGGGGCCCTGTCTTGGCCTTTCTTCCCCAACCCTGCCACAGTGAAGCCGAGGTTCTGGACCACAGCAAGAACCCTTGTGAAGACTCTTTCCTGCCAGACACAGAGGGCCACACCTACGTGGCCTTTATTCGAATGAAGAAAGAGGATGACTTCACCACCTGGACTCAGCTTGCCAAGGTGCCCCCAAACCACATCCATTTTAGGAATACCCCTCCCCACAAGATATAGGGATCTTTGTTTTGGAATCTTCTACCTTAGAACTTTCTCTTCATGCTCTCACAACCCCTTTTCCAAATCCATATTCGGGAGGTTGCTTTCTCGAGGAAGCTGCTTTTAAAGAGCCAGAAAAGCTAGGCTAATGGTCTCAGTGACTCCTCCCCACAGCTCTGACCCATGCCTCTCCTCCTATCCCACCCTACCAGTGCCTCCATATCTGGGACCTGGATGTGCGTGGCAACCACCGGGGCCTGTGGAGGTTGTTTCGGAAGAAGAACCACTTCCTGGTGGTGGGGGTCCCAGCCTCCCCCTACTCGTGAGTGATTCATTCCTGCCTTAGGAAGGGGAAAGTAGTGGGGTTAGGGGACATAGTAATGGCCTTTTACAAAATGTTTTCATATTACCTCTCCAGAGTGAAGAAGCCACTATCAATCACCCCAATTTTCCTGGAGCCACCCCCAAAGGAGGAAGGAGCCCCAGGAGCTGCAGAACAGACATGAGACCTCCTCCAGGACCCTGCAGGGCTGGGTACTGTGTACCCCCCAGGCAGGCTAGCCCTTCACCCCATCCTGTAGGATTTTGTAGACACTGCAGGGGCTGGGGCTGGTTTGTTTTTAACATGAGTCTTAATTACTAACTCCAAGGGGAAGGTTCTCCTGCTCCTATGTCCCTGTTCCTGAGTTGGAGGTCTATTTATTTACTTTCCCATTGGGAAAGGACAGGATATTACCTGGGAATCATTGGAATCCCCAGGCAGCTGATTCTGCCCTTTGTACACACCCTTACCCCAGGCCTGGCTCAGAATCTCACCTATTTATTGACTGTCCTGAGGGCCTTGGAAACAGGCTGAAGCCTGGAGGGCCTTGTCTTCTTACTGGACTGGGGTGCTGCCCTGAGGGTAGGGCTGGTTCTTACTCAGGAAACTGGTGTGCCCAACCCATGGACAGGCCCAGCTGGGGCCCACCTGCTGATGCAGACTCACTCAGAGACCTTCAGACACTGAACCAGGCCTCTTCTTAGCCTCTTCTTTGTCCATGTCTCCAAAGCTGGATAAGGTGGTCATTGATTAAAAAAGGAGAAAACCTCTGGGGATGTGTCTTATGATTGTGTGTATGTGTGTGTTTGTGAGGAGAGAAAGATGGGTGGGTCATAATTGATGATAAGTTTTCCTTACTGTCCTTCATAGAGTTTATCTTCCATTTGGGACTGTTTGGTGACCATCGGATGCCCAAGTCTCAAATTTCAAGGCTTTCTCTAGGACCCTTCTTTTTTTTTTTTTTTTTAAAGATTTATTTATTTTTATACAAGAATTGGGGTACAGGCCAGAGATGCAGGGGTGAGAGGATTCACCAGAGACAGAGTGGGAAACAGAACAAGCAGATGGACTGAAATACACTGCTGAGGGGAGCAGTGGGGAGACAGGAGAGGTCTGTCCCGCCATGTGGGTTTCTCCCTGGCCGGCCGGGAATCGAACTCATGCTGCAGTGGCTGCAGATTGCTTCATAGGTTGCGTCTTAACCCCTGCGCCACCAGGGAGGCCCTCTCTAGGACCCTTCCTTGCTGCTGAACTATCAGGTCTCCTGCCTAGCTAATATGAGCCAGACACCTGTCCATAAAGATAGAGCAAAAGAAAGCAAAAAAAGGGATACTTGGGGCCTCCCTGGTGGCACAGCGGTTGAGCGCTGGGTTGTGAAGCTACTTGCGGCCTCTGCAGCACCAGTCGATCCCCGGCCGCCAGGCAAGGGTCCCACATGGCGCACAGACCTCTCCTGCTGTGCCCGCTGCTCCCCTCAGCAGTGTACTTCATCATTCTGCCTGCTCTGCTCTCCCCTCTGGCTCTGGTGAATTCTCTCACCCTCCCACGCTTCTGACTATACCCAGTGCTTGTATAAATTTAAAAAAAAAAAAAAAAAGGGGATACTTGGGGGTAGGGGAGCTAATGAATATAGCAGGAATGGGAAGGAAGTGGATGAGATAGGCCTAAGTGGGCATTATTCTGGAAGCTAGGGCTAGCTGCAGATGAAGCAGAGGAGCAAGGATGTCTGTGGGCCTTAGGACACTTTACAGAATTCCATATCTGGGCATTTCCTCAACCCCAGTGACCCAGAGATTAAAAAGATCTGAGAAGTTAAGACACTCCAGGAAGTGGATGGGGTTGTCTAGAGAGTGAAAGAGATTGCCCAAGGCAGGGAGCATGACATTTGAAGGATCTGTGAAGCACTTAGAACCAGGAGATGAGTATAGAACACCTCTTGAGAAGCGGTTGCCTCCAGAGCTTTCCCAGTGACCCCGTTAAGTTCCTTATATAGAGCCTTGGCCAGGGAGAAAGGAACTGACTGGAACTCCTGTCCTTCCCCAGTTTTCTGCCCCTGCTTCCTCCACTGGGGCCTAGAGCCCAGATTGGCAATGGCCCGGGTGGTGTGTGGGCTGGACATTTCTCTCCACCCTGGCGCCTTCAGTGTTTGCTGGAGCTAGAGATAGCGCTTGGGGTGCCACAACACCAGGCTGAGAAGCAGTTAAGTGTATGATGAGGTAGAGGCCCGCCCTGGGCAAACAAAAAAGCCTTTAGCCTCCATACACACTACCCCTGGGGGAGGAGTAGTGTGTGAGACACAGTGAGGTACTAAAGAGGGAAGGAAAGCCAGTTCCTCTCCCCAGCCTCCCAGCAGCCTCTTGTGGCACTTACAGACTAGCTCTTAGGTACTGTGTGGCTCTGGCCAGGTTTCTGTTCCTTTTTGGGCTCAGCAAAAGGTGGTGGTTCTGAGCTATCCTAGAAAAGCCCAGGAAGAAGGATTCAGGGGCCTAAGGGAAGCTAGGAGGAAGACTAGTTTGCCAGGTTTGACTTTCCATGGTAGCAGACACCATATGCTCCTGCAGTAGCTCCCTGCTGTCCAGGTTCGGTAGGCATCAAATCTACCTCTCGGACATTCTGGCCTTCAAGTAATTCTGGGGTCGTGTCAGCCAGGACCCCACCAGGTTCTAGAGTCAGACAGCCTGGTCCTAAATCCTTCTCAGCTCTTCACTGAAAGCTTGGGCCTGGAACAAGCTGCCTGGAAGGCCCCAGTTTCTGGAGTATGAGAGTAGTTAAGTATGAGGGCCTCCTTGGTGGCACAAGGGGTTAAGTCAGCATAATGAAGCTATCTGCAGCCACCGCAGCAAGAGTTCAATCCCCAGCCAGGGAGCTAACCCACATGGCGCAGCAGACCTCTCCTGTCTTGCCCTGCCCCCTTCAGCAGTGTATTTCAGTAGATCCATCTGTTCGGCTCCCCACTTTGTCTCTGGTGAATCCTCTCACACACACACCACCCCCCTCACCCCCACACACCCACCTCTGGCCTATACCCTAGTTCTTGGATACATAAATAAATCTATTTAAAAAAAAAAGATTAAGTAAGAAATCAGGTCTACAGAGAACCTAGCAGACCAAGACCAAAAATACATGTTCTTTCTGAAGTCCACAAAGGAACAGGTGGGTTTTACCTGCCTGGAAGGGTAGGCAGCTTGGATCCCCTGATAGGCTTTTCAAAACCTAAAAAGTAATTCTCTCCCATTGCCTGGAATGTTTCCGGTCTCCCGCCCCCATTCCAGCATAGCTTGTTATTTTCATAGTTTTCTGGTCCAGTGCCCCTACCCGGGAGGGAGTAGTTTCAGGCCAAAGTCTTCCCATATTATGAGAAGGCAGACTAACCCAACCCTCACCTCCTCAGGGCCACTCTTGTTAGGCTACTTCCCACATCTGGAATCCAAATGAAGGGAAGAAATAGCCACCCACCTCCACCTCACATCTCTTCTGCTACCTTTCTAGGGGTCCTTCTGGAATCTGCAGCCAGTTTAGGTAAGAAGGGCCCCAAAGATACACAGGAAAGAGTCCAAATGAAAACATTTTAATTGGTCCATGATTTCTGTAGTGTTTTCTACATATCCACCTGGTTACTTCTGATTTTGCATATTCCCAGGCTGTAGGGTACCTTTCTCTCATCTCCCAGGGGAGGACTGGGGTCACTGAGAGACCCCCTTGCCTGAAGGGGTGTCAAGGGCTTAAGGGACAGACTAGAGGAATGGACAGGAGAGCTGGCTTACATTGAGGTTTCATTCCCAACGACAGAAGGAAAAGTCAGGCACAGCCTGAAGGGGGTGATCCCTATTTGGTGCCAAGTCCAAGACACCAAGGCCAGGCCTACTCCAGTCCAAGTGCCACTGTTAGATCCTATCCCCACCCTGATCATGCTGCTTAGCAGTGCTAGGGTACCTCCTCCCAGCTCCCATGTAGCAGGCAGCAGCACTGGTGGAGGCAGAAGCGGACTCATTCCAGATTGCAGTACACATACATGGATACAATCATGGCAGCCAGCTGGTGGGGGAGGAACAGAGAGAGGTGAGAAGGTATGATCAGGGATCATTAAGCAAGTCCCCTACCCTCCAGATACCCTGCTCTGTTAGAAGTCCGTCTTTTCCTGAGGCTTTGAGATGGGCCAAACAGTCCTGACCCAGACCTGACCCTACCCAACTCCCTCACCCCCTTACCTCTAAGGCCCCAATTCCAGCTGCCACACCACCAACAATGACTGAGTTGGCTTCAATGGAATGCACAATCTGTTTCATGCAACCCTTGGGAGGGGAAAGAACATCTATAGTCAGCAGCTGCCCCCTCTGATGCCATTAAAGCAGCCCCCAACCTTTCATGCCAGTCCACACCTGTACATGCATCTCCTGAGCCTTCTCCTGCGTACAGTTTCCCATGGCTGTGTTATTCTTGTCAAGGCAACAGTATGGGGGAAAGGCATGCTGCTCTTTGAAATAGGGAGAATCTTCAAAATCGGTGTAGTTGTTGAAGCCACAACACTTTAACTGAAGAAATGGATGAGAAAGAAGTCAGTGGGGCATTCTTTCTCCCCACCCAAAAACCTCCCCAGCCCAGCTTACATTTTCCATGGTGGAGTTCCACAGTTGGGTGATATCCTTCTGGGAACCGTAGTCTTTCTTGATAGTGGACACGATCACTGGCTTCAGCAATTCCTCGCTCTGGATAGGGCAGGCCAATGTTTAGGGTCTGGTAGGGAAGGTGGCCATGCATAGGCCACAACCCACTTCCAGGGCTTTGCCCAATCTTCCCCCCTTGCCCTATCTCTGTTTCTCACCTTTTTGGAGTATACCAAGACAACCACACCAGCTGCAACCTCAGCAATGAAGATGAGGAGGAGGATGACGAAGAACTGAGTGGAGAACAGGGGTCTGAGTTTTAGGGAAAAACAGCCCATCTGCCTTCCTTGCCCTAGCCCCTCCAACTCCTCCCCCCCATAGTAATGAGGCAGCGACCCCCTTTGCTGAGGCCCTTGAAGGCCAAAGCAGGGTTTGGGGACCCCCAGGGTCTGGTATCTAGGGTGAGGGGGCCCTGGGACTTGGTCATGGGCCAGTGGAACCGGGTGTAACACACCATCATGAGGGCACACTTGCTCTCATACTGAGCCCCGTAGCAGCCCAGGAAGCCAAGAACAAAGAGCACAGCGCCAGCCGCGATGAGGAAGTAGCCCACGTTGACAAACTGCATGATGGTGGACGACGATCCGAAGATCTTCAGGAAGGATGACCCGTCAACTGACACCCAGATGCCCACTGCCAACAGGGCCACACCACAGAGCTAGGGACAAAGAGGCAGGCCTTGAAACATTACTGGCAAGCAGCTCCCTACCACAGTGAGATAGGAGATGAGACACTTCCCCCTTTATTTGCTGAAAACTCATCCTGTAGGGAGAGAAAATATCCTTAGAGTTAGAAAGGTAGAAACTGAGATGCTTATAGCTGGCACAGGCTGCACACCTTGGTAGATTAAATAGGACTGGAAGGGTGGTGGGGGGAGGTTTCAGAAATAGCCACAGAGTGGGGGTAGGGGCAAGGTTTTCCCTCACTGCTGCCAGGGCCCTGCCACATAACTAGGAGAGAAAACAAGCAGTTGAGCTCAACGCCCCCCCCCCCCACACACACACCCCTGCTGTCCCACCCCTCCCACTTTCTTTCTGGGCTTTGAGCGCCCAGAACACCTCTGTCCTCTGATAGGAGGAAATGAGGGTGGTAGCATTGAACCAGCTCAACAGTCACCATAGCAACATAGGCGGCACCGAGATTTACACCTGCTCCCAACCATGGTAAGGGTGGTAGTAAGGGACTCCCACCCTAAGGATCCATTGGCTCCCCTCCAATCAGACTCCATGCCTTTCCTTCATCTAGCCTAGACCTCTCCTTGCCTCTTAAGTGGAAATTGAGGTACCAGAAGGTGATTACAACTAGCATTTCTCTCAAAAGCTCTCTGACTTAAACCCCAAACCTTAGAGGGAATCCTGAGGCTTACACTGGGGAGGGCGCTGACCGGTTCTCACAATTCTTAGAGCAAGGCTTTGTTAATCAAGAGTTTCTCTGGATAAATCAGCCTGATATCATTTTGGTCCCAGCCTACACTTTCCAGTTATAGAAACTGAGGCAGGAACTAGAGGAGAGGTGGGAGATTGTGGCTGGATCACAGGCATGTTTGCTCAAGGACAGAAAACTGGGCTCTCAGCCTGCAGGGTCAAATTTCAAGGAGTCTCAGGCCTGTCCTGCCCTGCCCAGTCTGACAAGGCCTGGGCAACAGAGGCCAAAGCCAAACCGGATTTACCTTTAACCCCCTCGGGCCAGAACCCTTGCTCTCCAAATCCCTGGAATCTTTTCCTTTTCTCCAGATACGTGAATAAAGGTTAGTTCTCTGAAACCAAATGAAGCCCAAGACATGGATCACACTTGAATTAGAGTTTACTCACTCCCAGCCCAATTTGTCCAAATTCATCTACACTTAATGTCTTTCTTTTACTCACTCTAATCTATTCTAGTATGGCCCCGACGTCTCTGGTGACATCCTGTGTTACATCCAGAGACATTTCATGGGCCATGCTCTCCTCTGGCATCTCACTTTCCTTGTTTCCTTCTTCTGTTGCCCTTTCTTCATTAGCTTCTTGAGGGCTATTTCTCCCCTGATCCCTTGTAGCTGGATTTCCCGAATTCACTGTCCCTGAGTGCTCCCATCCACTTGCTAACTTCAGTGATCACCTGTGGGCACATACCTTTCAAGTGGCTAGCTTGAATTTGAACTACAACCCCACTTGGTACAGAACTGTCTGTGGGACTTCCCCCAAGGAGTTCATGCCAGCTATATGGGCATCATCTCAAGATCTCCCTTGTCTTTCCAATCTTCAGCCACCATATGAGGGCTTTACCCATTGTTCATCTCTCAGTATCTCCACCACCATCGCCAAGGTGCACGCCTCATTGCTCAGCTTCCTCAAACATACCTTATACAATCTGTTCCTGGTTTTCTGAACAATATCTAATTTCATGGCCTCTGGGTCTTTCTGCATGCCTTACAACCCTCTCACCCAGCACAAATCCCCAGCCTCAGCAATTTCCTTTAAGTCTTTTTTGACCAGGCTGGACTTAAGTTCCTCCAGAGCCATCCAAAGCCTCCCCTAGTCCCTGTGCTAAGGTCATATATATTATGTTGCAACTGTCTGCCTAACTGGTCTGCCATACATACCTTCAATACTCAAGGGCAGAGAAAGGCCTTACCCACCTGTCATACTAGCACTCACAGTCTTAGGTAATAAGTTGCTAGGTAATAAATGTTTTTCAAATGAATAAGTGTTGCTTGGGGGCATAATTCTGATTTAATGATGTAGGGCCTTCTCTCCTTTCAGCTTCCTTTTATACAGAGGCCACTGAATTTCCTTCCACACTAGGTGGAAGGCAAACCCCTTGCCTTCAATGGGCCCCAACGCCTATACAAAGGGGAGAATATTTCCTGTTTACCTACCCTGCCCTGCCCTGCCATAAGGCTGGCCCAAAGCTTCCTGGGAGGAAGGGGATGCCTCTAATCTTTTTTTTTAAGGTTTTTTTTTTTAATTTATACAAGAACTGGGGTACAGGCTAGATGCGTGGGAGGGTGAGAGGATTCACCAGATAGAAAGCAGGGAACAGAACAGGCAGAAGGACTGAAATACACTGCTGAGGGGAGCAGCAGGCGAGACAGGAGAGGTCTGCTAGCCATGTGGGTTGCTCCGAGGCCGGCAGGGATCGAACTGGCACTGTAGAGGCTGTGGACAGCTTCACAGGGCTGCGCTCAACCGCCTGCGCCACCAGGGAGGCCCCCGATGCCTCTAATCTTTACCCCAATTCATACGCCAGGTAAGCTGCTATTGACACCAAGATCCCATATTTGTGAAGGCTTCTGTACCTCATCATAAGGGGAAACTTTTACAATAGCATGTGGGCACAACAATCTCCTCTCTCCCCTTGTGCTTTCCCCACTCCTGTAGGGACACCCCAAAGCCCCAAACCCCCATACTTACAAAGATGATCAAATTGAAGATGATCATCAAGGTCTTAATGAAACTGAAACACTGCATGGTGGCTCCTAGAAGGCAGACATGAGTGAATTAGGACCTCACCCCCTTACCTGGGCCAACCTTGGCACTGGACCATAACATACCAGACTCCAGCATCCTGGAACCATAGATCACCAATCCTCCCCTGCATCTGTACTCTGACTCTTCAGGACTTTTCCTAAGATTCCCGTTTGGTACCCCTTTCTTCTGTAATTCCCAGAACTGATGCAGGTACCTGACACTCTGCGCTACTAATACCCCAGTGTTTTCCACTGGCACCAAGCTTGACAGCCAAACTAGAGCTCACTCCATGCCCTTTCCCTGACACCTGTATACCTGAACCCCTCCCCAAACCAACAGTAGACTCTTCCAGGATCCTTCTTCAAGACTCTTTCAGCTCCCAAATCTGTTCCCAGGTTGATTTCATAGGTTAATCTCTAGGCAATGCGTTTACCTGCTGAGGGCTCTTGGTAGCCTGTTCTGAGAGGGATCTGCTGAGGCTCCAGAGGGGGTAGATAGCTCCAGGGAACTGCCACTGAGTGGGAAGGCAGGAAGACAGGGCTGGCTCTCACACACCACTGCTTACCTGCAGGAGAGGCAGGTGCTTTAAAGGCTTCCTTCTGCCTGCCCACCAGCCCCACCCGCCTGCCCCACCCTCCAGTCTACCTCTTTTGCCCCTACTGCCCTCTGCTGCCTGGAGATGTGCCCCTACAGCTACAGTGGCAGAGGACCTCCGCCCAGCTAAGTTAACCAGAAGCAAAGCCCCTCAAGATCTAAAGAAGGAAGAGAAGCTTGGGGGTGAGGAAAGTGCCCCGTTTCTTGTGTGCTTTCCATTATACAGTGCACATAATCTTCCTTACACACTCTTGCGCGCGCGCATAAACACATATACACACACACACACACACACACACACACACTCACTGAACTCTGTGTGGACTCACTCCCAGCAACTAACAACAGAGCAACACCTGAGCAACAAACTTAAAGATGCTAAGTATAAGGTAAATACTTAGAGTAAATAAGCGGTACATTCATTTTCGTTCTCTCTCTTCCTTACCCCCCCTCCCCTCCCCTTCGTCCCTCCAGTTGCTGGAGGTTTCGCAACTTTTGCTCCTTCTCTGGGTAATAAACAGCTCCTAGACCTTTTCCCTCTATAAAACTTCATGTTTCCCATCTTTGTCCTTTCTCGTCTTTCTTCCTCTCTTCTTCCTCCCCACATGGTCTCTTTTCCCTCTTCTTGTCTTCTCTTAGACCTCTGTGTACGTACACCCCTGTTCTTTATGCCAGCAGGTGGCACTATGGCCCCAAAAAAGCACTCTAGTGTTTTTGTTTTGTTTTATTTTGTTTTTAAAGATTTATTTATTTTGCATACAAGAACTGGGGTGTAGGCCAGAGGTGTGGAGGGTGAGAGGACTCACCAGAGTCTCACATCCCACCCCAACTCTCTTGATGTGGAGGGGCAGGAAACTTCTGGCTTTCAAGTGGCTCAGACCAGGAGCTCCAATCTTGGTTCTGATATTTATTAGTTATGTGAGCTGGGGTGCGGGAGGGAAGCCGGGGGAGCATTTCTTAGACTTGGTTTTAAGCCTGTTTCCTGATCTGGATAACAGAATATATAGGTTTTAAAAATGAGATCACCCTCCCCCCACTCTGGAATATGTGGAAGTGACCATAGAGTTAGAAGATCAGAGTGAGGACAGTCACAGCGGAGGCAGTATGGGTGCAAGAAGTGGATTTTTAAATTTTTGTTTCAAAGATTTATTTATTTATGCATACAAGAACTGGGGTACAGGCCAGAGGCATGGGGGAGAGGGGAGAGGACTCACCAGAGACAGAATGGGGAACAGAACAGGCAGAGAGACCAAAATACACTACTGAGGGGAACAGCAGACCAGTCAGGAGAGGTCTGCTGCACCATGTGGACAGCACCCTGGCTGGCCTGGGATTGACTAGTGCTGCAGCGGCTGCGGACAACCCCACAGGTTGCATCTTAACCCCTTGCACTACCAAGGAGGCCTGATTTAAAAAAAATTTTTTTTAAGATTTATTTTTATTCATGCATACAAGAACTAGGGTGTAGGCCAGAGGTGGGGGTGTGTGTGTGAGAAGACTCACCAGAGACAGAGTGAGGAGCAGAACAGGCGGATCTACTGAAATACACTGCTGAGGGGAGCAGCCGGTGAGTCAGGAGAGGTCTGCTGTGCCATGTGGGTCAGCTCCCCAGCTGGGGATCGAACTCAGGGAGGCCCCTCAGATTCCCTTTTTATTCTCTTTTTAAATATGGGGGAACAGGAGCAAAAAGATTAAGTACTTGCCATGATCACAAAATGTGTAAAGTGGTAGAGCCAGGATTTACTCCCAGTCAGTCCAAGCCAGTCTTAGCCCACTGTCTGCATTGATGGAGTCTCTAAGAAGGCAGGAGGGACTGGTTTCCAAAAAGAACATGAGAGGAGGCCTTGGAATGAGACTCAAGAAAGAATATAACTAGGGCAGGTGGGTTTATGAGCATAGTAGCTAGAAATTGAGGGGCAAGGTCAATTTTCTTTTCTTTTTCTTTTTTAAAGATTTAATTATTTATGCATACAAGAGTTGGGGCACAGGCCAGAGACAGAGTGGGGAACAGAACAGGCAGATTGACTGAAATACACTGCTGAGGGGAGCAGTAGGTTAGACAGGAGAGGTCTGCCTCATCGTGTGGGTTTCTCCCTGGCCGGCCAGGGATTGAACTCGTGCTGTACAGGCTGCAGATTGCTTCATAGTATGGTGCTTAACCCCTTGCACCACCAGGGAGGCCCAAGGTCAATTTTCTAAGGTTGAAGATAGCAAGAGTAGAGAGGTTGGAGGGGGAGGTCTTTGTCAGTCCCAGTTTCCTAGCAGGCTACCATAGGAACAGAGAAAAGGTAGAAGCTAGGAAGAGAACCTACAGGTAGAGCAAGAGGGCATGGGAGAGTAGGCTGAGCTATGGAGGAAGAGGCAAATCCAAACAACCTGGTGTAAGGCCTGGCCGAGCTATTGATGTTCCTGTCTCCTATATGAAAGGAGATAAATTCAGGGTTCATACCTCTCTCAGCCCAAGGGGACCTAGTTGTTCCTCCACCTGCTTGGTTGTCTACATGACTTTGTCTTTCATGGCAGCAAGAAGCAGGGCGAGGCTGTATTCTTCTGTGTCCCCAGGGCCCAGCACATATAAAGTTATTAGTGAACATTTGCTGAATCTTTGAATGAATGAATGAATGATTGAGTACAGAGTAGCAAGAGTTAAATGTGGATTCTCATTATTCATGGTTTCCAGATCTGTGAATTTAACTACCTACCCTACTAAAATTGATTTATAATGCCAAGCCAATACTTATGGCCCCTTTGCAGTCATTCATGGTATGTGAAGAGCCACACAAAATTTGAGTTGTCTAATACTCACATTCTCAGTTAAGGTTGAATTAAGGTTATTTGCTGTTTAAAATGATCCCCCAAGTGTAATGCTTAAGTGCTGTCTGGTGTGCCTAAGAGGCAGTGGTGTGCCTTGTGGAAGAAATACATTTAAATGTTACTCAGACACAAGTTATAGTACTACTGCCCAACAGTTCAATGCTAATGACAACAGCATATATTAAATTAGCTGTCTTTTTTTTTTTTTTTTTTTTTTTTGGTAGAGGCATGCTTTTTTATTTGTTTGTTTGTTTGTTTGGTTATACAAGCTCTGGGTACAGTCAGAAGCACGGGAGGGTGAGAGAATTCACCAGAACCAGAGCGGGGAGCAGAGCAGGCAGAAGGACCTAAGTACACTGCTGAGGGGAGCAGCGGGCGGCAGGAGAGGTCTGCGCGCCATGTGGGACCCTCCTCCGGTGGCCGGGGAGCAGCTGGGGATCGAACCGGCGCTGCAGAAGCCGCGGGCAGCTTCGCAACCCAGCGCTCAACCGCTGCGCCACCGGGGAGGCCCTAAATTAGCTGTCTTTAAATAGAAACAAACATGCAACTAAGTCTTGTACTGATTGATCAGTTGACAAAAATATTGTGACCAGAGGCTAGTAGGAATCTAACCTTTCTCCTAGGAGCACTGGCTCCATATTTGCTAATTCAGTGTTCATGGTGACTTTATTAGAACACAACTAGTGTGACTAGCAAGAATTGTCTGATATGAAACAGGAATAGTAGAATATAGGGAATTGTGGAGTAAAATGGGACCTTTGTAAAGTACTCTGCAGTGTCTGGCACAAGGTAAATGCTCAGTAAACATTGTTAATATTGTTAATGTGGATGAATGAGAAGGTGAGGGAATGATGTCCTTTTCCCGAGGGGCCAAGCTGAAGTTTTCTGGCAATTGTACAGATCATGTTTTAAATGCATTACATACATAGTAATGCATTCCCCTCCATAATAATCCTGAGATAGAACCTCTTTTAATCCCCTTTATAAATATGGGGATACAGAGGCATAGAAAGGTTAACTTTTTGCCATGATTGCAAAATGTGTAAGTGGCAGAGCCAGAATTCACCCTCAGTCAACTTAATGTCTTAGCCAACAGTCTACATTGACAGGATTGTGAGGAAGCCTGACCCATGGGGAGGGGTTAGGGTCCCAGGACATAATAAAAAGCATCACCTGTATACACCCTTTGCATGTCATAGAGGCCTCCACTGCCCTGGCCAGCAGCACCTTCAGGCACACTGCAGAAACTCCTTGTGCCCATGGGGCCTTCCCAGCTTGTCCGTCCCCCTCGGCATCGGGGCATAAGCTCCCCGTACCGCAGACCAGGTATGCATTGGCCTCGGCCGAGGTTTCCCAGGATGTACAAGTGTAGCCGCAGAAGGTACCAGCAGAGACCCCTAGGACAAGCTGCCACCATTACAGCCACCAATCTCACCACTATGACCACAGATATCAACACCCGTACCACCACCAGCATGTGGATCCTTCCACCACAAGGTTAGCTGAGGGTCCCATCCCACGGTGGGAGCTGGAAAAACAGGAACACTCAAGTTTTTCCATGTTATCGCTGTGTATACACTCTGAGGGACACACCCTCTGTAAAATATCACCCAAAAGGAATGGGGGCTCTTGAGGGCAGGAGTCCCAAAGGCTGAGAGCCTAAATGGACCATGTAGAAGTGGAGAACTTGGGAAAGTGGGTGAATGTAAGAACACTGGAGCTTTTAGAATTAACTGCTGACTTCCTCATACTCTTCCCTCTCTTTCCTGTCCTCAGTTCTCAGATACCTCTGTCAACCTGGGAGCTTTCTCATCATCTAGAAATGTCCTGAAACTTGTCCGCATGCTTGACTGGCTCCAGGTCTGCATCTTCTAGTGGCCTTGGATGGTGAACAACAGATAAATACAGACATTTCTGCTTCAATCACCTTATTCCACTCCAAGGTGTTTCCAGACAACTATGCAGGGTGTGAGGGCAGGGAGGGGGCTGAATGTTCCCGGGGATAGGCTTCAATGACAGCAGCTGGGATCACAGATAGTGGAAGGACAACACAAGGTCAGCAACATGTACCATCTCCCCATCTTTGACCCCCATATTTTGATCTGCCCTATGAGATAGGGGGTCTTCCTGTCTCGCACTCCTAAATGCACAGGGAAAGGGATCTCTGTAGGTATCTTGGAAGGTCTAGGGAGTCAGTTTCTTGATGTGGGAAGTAGAGGCACAGATCAGAGATAGGGTGAGAGACAATTGCACTGCTTGAGCATAACTCCACAGCGCTTGTGTGGGGTATATGAGGCTGTGTGTTCCTGTGATGGTCAGTGTGTAGGTGTAGTGCCAGTATTCATGACAGAGAATGTATATGAGATCCAGAGAATGGGAGTCTAAGCCAACATGTGGCTGAGTATACCTTTGCAATCAAATGTGCCTCTGTGGCTGGCTGTGCGTCAAGGTGTGTTTATGAATATATAGGTTGCCAGAAAGGTCATCAGCTTGGCTAAGAGGAATGAAGGTCGGGGGTGGGGTGGGGTGGGGGCCGCCTGAAGGAAGAAAGGATTAGCTTCTGAGGAGAGTACACCATCTTTAGCCCCCCAGTCATTATCTGAGGTCAGTGTTTTCTACGACTGACAGCTGAATTGGGGCGCTTAGAGATAGGGCAAGAGTTTGAGTCCAGAGAGAGGGGAGGGTGCTAAGCACTCTGGCCTGGGGATTTTCCATTTGTATTTCTGATCATGTGCCCATGTGTCACTGGGTGTAACTGGGTTTTTATGGGTGTGTCTCCACGGTGCTGTACCTCAATGTGAGGGACTCTGTAACATGTTACTCTATGCCTGGGTTAGTGGTATCCCTAAGTCTCAAGTTCTGGCTCCAGTTCCAGGGCTCCCTTCCTTGAGGGTTGGGGGTAGAAGTGAATCCTGTGACCTTTGGCCTCTCAAGAAGTCTGGGTAATGTTCTCTGCTGCCTATGAGGAGGATATGAATTGTGTCTGTGTCCAGACACTCCAAGGCTGGCCAGAGACTGAGACTATGAGAGGAGGGAAGGGCATAGTCCTCACTGACACATTGTGCCCAGACAGTGGGTGATGATGTGCCTCTGGATATAGGGAGGATGCTGAAACCTCCGTCACTACCAGAAGGTGGCTGGGCTAATAGTACCCAAGACCCACAATGGGACCCCCACATATAAAGACACATGACACAGCCCATGCAGGGCTATGTCGTTTACATACATGCAGGTATGTAAATGTAAGTGGACTCACAGATACAATGCAACAAACACATATGCCTGTAAATACCTGCCTATAAACAGATCTTCCCTTACACTAATGTCCACAGGCCTCCCCACATGACTAATTTAACAACATACACACATGCCTCCAAATGAACACAGACACAAACATGCATGCACATAGACACAGACACACAAGCAGCCAGATAGGCACGAGCAATCACACTCATGCAAACTAGGCACACAGACACACACACATGCAGACACACTCACCAGACTTCCCTGCCCCTTCGGCCCTGGGACCCAGAAGCCTCCCTCCCCTATATGAGTGTGTGTGTGTGAATGCACGCATGCCCACACTTGTATCTCTGTGTATCTGTGTGTGTGTGTGTGTGTGTGTGTGTGAGTGAGAGAGAGACAGAGAGAGAGAGAGTGAAAAGGGGGGGGCTTGCAGAGCTGTGGGAACTCAATGACATCATCTCTCCCATCTATTTTTAGCTCCCTCTGCAATGACGGTTTCTGTACCGCCCCTCCCCCTCCAGGTTCCCTACTCTCCTTCCCCTACAGCTCCCAGAGATAGCCTCAGCCTGAGGGCCCCACCACCCCAGTCTAAGTGACCCTCTGGATGACTGGGTGCAGCTCTCACCCTCCCACCCCACTAGAGTCCCAAGAGGCTGAGCACCCTGCGCTCTCCGGGAAGTGAGGAAGCTTGGGTCATTGGCAGCCTGGAGCAGAAGCCTGGGTTAGGTGAGCTGACCTGGCCCTTAGGGTGCCCTGCTTCTGCTTTCAATCTGAAACTGTCTCATTTGTAGTGCCTGCTGTGTGTCAGGGAGGGGACCATGTTCTGGAGATAGAGAGTGAGCAAGACAGTGGGAGTTCTTACTGGTGGGAGCTCCAGCCTGGTGGGAGACAGACACTAAACAGATCACACGGACATTGCATTAAATTGTGGCAAGGGCGCTAGTAACAAGGGGACTTAGTCTTGGATGATTATCAGTTCACTGTCTCTGTGTCTGTCTCACTTAGAGATAAACTGAGGAAGCCAAAGAGTCACTATCCCTTCCCTCACACCTTTCACCCTAAAACCACACCTCCAGAATTCCACAGAGCAGCTCTTCCTTCTCACACCCCAGGCTATGCTCCTAACAATGCAACAACCTGCCATCCAAGAGTTGACCGGCTGCTATGCACATTCCCCTTTTCTTTGGAAACTCCTCACTGTCTATCCCTGGGAGGCAGTCCATTGTTCCCCCTGTATAGATGAGGAAACTGAGGCCAGAGAGGGTGTAGCTGAACCACACCTCCTGGTGCCCCAGGAGCAGCCCAGGGGAGGTGGCAGACAGGTGGAGCAGGAAGTGGTGGTGGCACAGGTGAGGGAGGGACAAGGGTGAGGGTGGGGTCAGAAGTGGAGGGAAATTGGTGGCCTGAGGGGTGCAGGCCTGGAGAAGGGCTTCCTGCTCCCACCAGCTATGGACAACCAGAAAATCGGGTTTGGCAGCTTCAGTCATTTGCCTGAGGGCTGAAGGAGGGGCTTTGAGAACTCCCGGGAAGCAGCCTGGGGGTGGGCCTGTCCTCTAGCCAAATCACAGTGTTGGAGGATTTTTACAGTACTCAGACCCTTAGGAACTTTGGGAGAATGGCTCCGGGCTGGAGGCAGGAGGCTGCAATTACAGTTCTGCCTGAAATCCCAGTGTGATATTTGGAAACTCCTGCCCCCTTTCTTGATCTTAGTGGGTCCTCCCAGGAGGGAGCCCTAGAGGATTGAGTTTCCTGCCCTCAACCCTACGGGGTTTTCCTGGGAGCCTGACTCAGGCACAGTAACAGAAAATGAATGAGAAGGGGCCAGACCAGACGCCTCAAGGGCGCCAGACTAGAGGTCCCTTGTCACCACTGACCGGAAGACAAACTCCAACCCCACAATGCTACATTAGGTTACTCCACCCTTACCAGTGCCCTTACCCGCACCCCCACTTCCGGCGTCTGTTCCTTCCTCATCTTCAGGGAAAGCTGCAGGGCTCCCTAGGTAATCTCTCATCTCTTCTCCACTGGCTCCCTGCCCTGTGCTTAATCACTCCCCATGCCTCTGCCCATTTGGCCAGGCCAGTATCCCAGTAAACTTTTTTTCCCCTGGACTCTGGGGCAGCCCAGGAAGGTGAGGAAGCTGAGTGGAAGGGCTTTAAAGGAGTCTGCTTTTCCTGCTAACTTCAGATACTGGAGCCCAAGTCAGGGGGGAGGTGGATGGACTGAGTTCTGGGGCCTGGGACTGAACTGCCCTAAGTATATCAAACTGTGTAGCCTTAGAGGAAACAGGAACATTACCCTTCACCTATCTAGCTATCTCCTTCCCTGCTTTCAGTAAACTTAGAGCCGAAGTCATGGATTCTTACAATCACAGAATTCTATGTTAGTAAAACCTGAGTTACAGAATATTAGAAATCAGAATTGTGGTATCACTGAGTCCCAGATCACAAGAGCTCAAGAGAAGTCAATTAGTGAAGCCCCTTCAGGTGATGAGAACTCCTGGGGATTCCCCATTGGCAATGGGCAAAGGTGTTCATACATGAACTCTCAAGAGGAGGCAGAGAGCCTGGGTCACAGCTTAGGATGAGGTAACCCACAATAAACAAGACATAAGACACTTCCATGAGGACACATTCCTGGGTTCCTGAGGATGAGGGGAATGGATAGTAAAGGGGATAGAGAAAGAGGAACTACATAAACTAAGAACACATAACTTAAAGAAAAGTCATCAAGTTGCATACTATGCTGGTCCCAATGTCTCCAGCTTCCCCACAATTGGGGTTATCATCAGCCAAGGACATTCTCCAAGGCTAGTAAGAGTTATCACATTGGAATGCAAAGTCACATCTGACTTTTTTGAGAAGGTTAGCAAAAAAAATACTACATAGGTCACACTTTTCTTGGGGGGGAGGGTCTGTTAGGAGGAACAGACTCTCTAAAGAGGATGCTGAATGTTGAGCAACATGGTATATACCAAAGTCACCCTCTGGGGTGGGATTCAGTTCCAGGCAAAGCCCTGGTAGGGGACCTTGTGGAGGGCATCTGTCTGGGATGATGCCGGGGAGGACAACTCTATAGAAGGAGCCAACCTTCAGGCAGCACTTTGCATGGGAATCCTTATCTGATCTATGGAGTTGGTTACTCAGCAAACAACAGGGATATTTATGTAGAACTGCTGTAAACTCAGGAACCCAGAGGGAGTAGCTCCATAGAGAGGCAAATACCAAGTCCTGCTAGGCATGGAAAATGGAGCAATGTCAGCTAAAGATTCTCTTGCTCAACTGCCTGTCCTTGAATTCAGCTCAATACTTTTGCCAGACCTCTATCCACACTCCTATTTGCCTCCCTCTGCCTATTTATCTGCTGTTCCACCTACTTGCACCTGCTGTGTGAACTTTGGCAAATGCTCTCCCCTTTATAGGCCTCAAACCTCCTTTGTTCTCTTTTGAAGTCTATAATTGGGTCCTAAGTACAGTTTTTAGTATTTTATAGTCCTGCCTTTGTTCAAATAAGTGCTAACCAGATATCTCCATTCTCAACTTCCAGAGAATGTGACTGGAAGTGCCCCCCAGTCCTGACCCAAAGGCACCAGGGCCAAGAACGCAGGGTGCCTTCCCAACTAGCGGATCCAAGGAGGCTGACCCAGCCTCCAAATGGGGGTGACGTTGGGAGTCCTGTGGCTGTGTTACAGGGCAAACCCTGATATAAAATGGGGTTGCCTGACTGTTGGACTGCCTTGGCCACAGGCTTAGGGGTGGGGCTGTAACTGACTGCTCAGGGTGAGGGGAGTGGTGAGCAGGAAGCTGAGAATCTGGGAGACCCTCTTTATCCAAACTGTGGGTAACTCTGAGTAGGAATGTGTGGGTGGGGAAACACCTTGAGGTCTGGCATGGAGACTTGGTTAAAAGATTAGAAAGTTGTGGGCCCGGTAAGTGGGCTCCGGGATGGAGGATAAGGGAGAATATTTGGGCTTATGCCACGCCCCCGCCCCCACCACACACACACACACACACACACACACACACGCATGCACGCATGCACACACGCAGCCCTGGGCCTGAACTCAGTGTCTCCCTTGGTCTCTATATAGGCATGGTTTGGGCACTAAGAGCCAGTTCTAGCCTTGTCTCCTAGGGAAGCCAAACCCCAACACTGCTGGGGGTGGAATGGAACGGGAGAGGGCTTGGGGAGCACTCTCAAAGACTCCAACTTCAGGAAATAGAATGGCAGGAATGGTGCAAGCAGTTTAGGTAAAATGCTATCCATATCAGCATGTGTGTCTAGGCATAGAGAGAGATGGTGTTTATTGAGTACCCTACTGTATGCTAGATCACTGATATTCACCAAATTGATATAAAAAGAAGGATGCTCCCCACTTTTTCCTTGATATTTTTATTTATTTATTTATTTTTTTAATATTTTTTTTTAATAGAGGCATGTTTTTTTTTCTTTATTTATTTGTTTGCTTGTTTGTTTGTTTTGTTTATACATGCACTGGGTACAGTCAGAAGCGCGGGAGGGTGAGAGAATTCACCAGAGCCAGAGCAGGGAGCAGAGCAGGCAGAAGGACCGAAGCACACTGCTGAGGGGAGCAGCGGGCGGCAGGAGAGGTCCGCGCGCCATGTGGGACCCTCCTCTGGTGGCCGGGGAGCAGCCGGGGATTGAACCGGCGCCGCAGAGGCCGCGGGCAGCTTCGCAACCCAGCGCTCCACCGCTGCGCCACCGGGGAGGCCCTCCTTGATATTTTTATAACAGTAAAATGATTTGTATATTTCTATATCGGTCTGTCTATCTGGACAGACATGAGTTTCAGTGCTGATTAGCCACTTACTGTTTGGCCTCAGAAATGTTGCTTTAACTTTTATAAACCTCTATTTTCTTAGTTGTAAAATAAGAATAATAGGAGAATGTAGGCACAGGGTTTGTTGTGAGGATTAAATGAGTTGAGACAACAAAACTGCCTGCAAGAACACTCAGCGGGGGCCTCCCTGGTGGTGCAAGGGGTTACGTACCACACTATGAAGCAATCCACAGCCTCTGTAGCACGAGTTTGATCCCCGGCTGGCCAGAGAGAAACCCACATGGCAAAGCAGACCTCTCCTGTCTCGCATGCTGTTCCCCTCAGCAGTGTATCTCAGTCAGTCAGCCTGTTCAGTTCCCCACTCTGTCTCTGGTGAATCCTCTCACCCCCCATCTCTGGCCTGTACCCCAGTCTTGCATGCATAAATAAATAGATTAAAAAAAAAAAAAGAACACTCAGCGGCAGCAGTGACCCTAGTTTGGTGTGTGGGAAGTGGGAGAGCAGAAAGTCTTTTGGAAAAGTGGAAATTTGAGCTAAATCTTAAAGTATTGAGTAAGAGCTAGCAGTGGAATAAGAGGGTAGGAACAGAAAGATATTAGTAACAAGGAGAATAATAGCATGAACAAAAAGCAGGCAGGTGAAAAACAAGATAGTGAGTTTGGGGAACCTACAGGTGTGAGACAGTGTGGAGAGTAATGAGGTTAGAAAAGTAAGCTAGGGGGCCTCCCCGGTGGCGCAGCGGTTGAGCGCTGGGTTGCGAAGCTGCCCGCTGCCTCTGCGGTGCCGGTTCGATCCCCGGCTGCTCCCTGGCCACTGGAGGAGGGTCCCACATGGCGCGCAGACCTCTCCTGCCGCCCGCTGCTCCCCTCAGCAGTGTACTTTGGTCCTTCTGCCTGCTCTGCTCCCCGCTCTGGCTCTGGTGAATTCTCTCACCCATCCGCGCTTCTGACTGTACCCAGTGCTTGTATAAATAATAAATAAATCTTTAAAAAAAAAAAAAAAAGAAAAGTAAGCTAGGGCCAGACTGGGGGGCTTAAAGTTATTAAGACTGAGAGATGTTGTGGGGGTTTTTAGCGGAGTAAGAGCAGACAGGCTCCCTGTGGTGGCAGTACAGAGGCAAGGACTTGTGGGGAGGAGGCAGCACTGGCATGGAAAGAAATGAATGGATTTGCGAGACAGAAGTGACAGGACTTGTGATGGCTTGAATAGGAGACATAAGAGAGCAGGAGGTATGAGGACCATACCCTGATTTCCAACTTGGGTCCCCAGGTAGAGCAAGAAAAGTAATACATTTGAGGAGAAAGTGACTTAAGTTTTGGACATGCTTGTGACCACATTCCAGGACAGATCTTCAATTATTGGGATTCTGTTGTCTTACCTGGCAATTACTCTGTCCAGAAGATGGGAGAGGTATCATTAGCTACTGTCTGTTCCTTGGCTGCGGTTGGCTGGAGGTCTGGGTGAGGAGGCGCATGTGTGCGTGGGGTGGGGATGGGCACACGTGCATGCATGCCTGCCACCAGTAGACTGGGCCTGGTGAATGTTCATTTGTGGTTCTGGGCCACCAGGATATCTCTTTGGGCACAATCACATTAGGTGAGTTTGAAGATTGGGACTGTCAAATTATTTCCAAAGAGAGTCCCAGGAGGGGATTAGTACTCTGTGCTCCTGAGATTACTGTCTTCATTTTGCAGTTGAGGAAACTAAGGCTCAGGAAGTGAGTGGCAGAACCAGTGAATGAAGATCTGTGTGAAGTCTTCTCACAGCACCAGCTGTCACACCATTGATAGTGACATTTGTTCCAAGAGGAGCAGGGACATCACCAGAGTCATGGCTCCTTGAGGGAGAAATGCAATATTGAGGGGCAGTGGAGATCAGGGAAGGTTGCAGGGAAATCTTCCTGGAGATGGTGCTATTTGGGTTGTCATAGAAGCATAATGCTTGCTTTCTGTCTCTCCAGCCAGCAATCACTGGCAGTCTGCTGTTGCCTGCTGTGAGGGAAAACTCGTCAGCTGAGAGGCCTCTGGGTAGAATGTGTCCAAAGACCCAAAAAGTGGCAGGCCGGAATTCCTGCAGACATGTCAGGCTTGAAATGGGGACATTTCTACCTCTGTCTCTGGCATCCATCAGCCCAGCATCTCTTTTGCATTGGCACTTCACTGGCAGCTGGCAGTTCAGTGCCTATTAACTTTCATATCAGGGTTCAGCATAAGTTTATGTTCTGCCCCTGGATTTGTTTTACCTGGAAAAAAAAAATGCATCATGTGATGAAGTGATAGACTCTAAGGGGAGGACTAGCAATTATAAGAAAAATTTCTTTCCATGGATGAGTGGGGGAGAGTTGTAAGACACAGAAAAGTGTTGCTAGTTCTTATCTGTCACCTACCAAGTTTTTTTTCTCCAGGTGTCCAAATGGCTGAGTTTGGGACTGGGGCAAATTCATAGAAACTGAAGAGGGGTGACTTTCAAAAAAAGTTTAAGGGCCTCCCTGGTGGCGCAGGGATTAAAGACAGCACTATCAAGCTATTGTCAGCCACTGCAGCACCAGTTTGATCCCTGGCCACCAGGGAGCTAACCCACATGGCACAGCAGACCTCTCCTATCTTGCCCTGCTGCCCTCCTCAGCAGTGTATTTCAGTAGATATGCCTCTTCTGCTTCCCAATCTCTCTGGTGAATCTGCTCACAATCCCCCTGACCCCCACACCTCTGGTTTATACCCCAGTTCTTATATGCATAAATAAATAAATCTTTTAAAAAAGTTTAAGTAATATTTGCTCATTGTGGACAATATAAGCATGTGAAAGGCAAAATACTTAAAGTACCCACTAACAGATAAATGCTGCTAATATTTTTATATATCTATATTTTCATTTCTGGTCATATGTAACTTTCTTTTAGGTAGTTAATATACTGCATAGACAATTTTTTTTGAAGATTTATTTTTATTTATACAAGAGCAGGGGTACAGGCCAGATGCGCAGGAGGGTGAGAGGATTCACCAGAGACAGAGTGGGGAACAGAACAGGCAGACTGACAAAATACACTGCTGAGGGGAGCAGCGAGACAGGAGAGGTCTGACTTGCCATGTGGGTTTCTCCCTGGCTGGCCAGGGATGGAATTCGTGCTGCAGAGGCTATGGATTGCTTTATAGTGTGATGCTTAACCCCTTGTGCCATCAGAGAGACCCTTTTTTTTTTTAAAAAAAGATTTATTTATTCATGCACACAAGAGCTGGGGCACAAGCCAGAGGTGCGGGGGGTGCGGGGGTGAGAGGATCCACCAAAGACAGAGTGGGGAACAGAATAGGCAGACCAACCTAAGCACACTGCTGAGGGGAGCAGCAGGTGAGCCAGTAGAGGTCTGCTGTACCATGCTGCACCATGTTGCTCCCCCACCAGCTGGCGGGGGGATCAAACTCCGTGCTACAGTGGCTGCAGACAGCCTCACAGGTTGCATCCCAACCCCTTGCACCACCACGGAGGCCCTCATTTGAAATTCTTTAAAGCTACTTAATAACTGTAGTCTTCCTCAATAGGGAGTTACTATATTTTATGTTATCAAACTTTTTATCTGTAGACATAAAGATTATTTCTCCTCCATCTTCTCTTCCTCCTTCTATTCTAAAAATGCTGTGATGGAAATCTTCATTCATAAATCTCTATTCATATATTGGATTATTTTCTTACAAATTTTTCTGGAAGTTGAATTACTGGGACAGAGGAGCAGAATATTTTTTTTTTTTTTTTTTTATAGAGGCATGTTTTTATTTATTTATTATTTATTTGTTTGTTTGTTTTCGTTTATACATGCACTGGGTACAGTCAGAAGCACGGGAGGGTGAGAGAATTCACCAGAGCCAGAGCGGGGAGCAGAGCAGGCAGAAGGACCGAAGTACACTGCTGAGGGGAGCAGCGGGCGGCAGGAGAGGTCTGCTCGCCATGTGGGACCCTCCTCCGGTGGCCGGGGAGCAGCCGGGGATCGAACCGGCGCCGCAGAGGCTGCGGGCAGCTTCGCAACCCAGCGCTCAACCGCTGCGCCACCGGGGAGGCCCAGGAGCAGAATATTTTTAAAGCTCTTGATATGTATTGCCAAAATGCTTTCCAGAAAGGTTGTGCCAATTACACTCTATCACTCCGACATATCTGTACCTATTTTATAGCATAAGACTAAGTATTAACGGGCCTCCCCAGTGGCGCAGCGGTTGAGCGCTGGGTTGAGAAGCTGCCCGCGGCCTCTGCGACGCCGGTTCGATCCCCGGCTGCTACCCGGCCACCGGAGGAGGGTCCCACATGGCGCGCAGACCTCTCCTGCCGCCCGCTGCTCCCCTCAGCAGTGTACTTCGGTCCTTCTGCCTGCTCTGCCTCCCGCTCTGGCTCTGGTGAATTCTCACCCTCCCGCAGTCTTCTGACTGTACCCAGTGCATGTATAAACAAAACAAATAAATAAATAAATTAATTAATTAAAAAAAAAAAAAAGACTAAGTATTAACATTTTAAAAGTCTGAAAAGTGTAAAACAGAATCTCTTTTCTTGGTGCTATACTTGGAGACCAGAGCTGCATGGTTCTACAGTGGTTCTATCAGTGATTTGATCCATTCAGACTGATGAATTCCTCTATTGATCAGATTGTCTTCTTCACTAAATTGGTGGCATTTGCCCACTGTTGTGGATATCCATAGTTTTTACCTGCCCGGAATTCTCTTTTCCTTTCAGTTACAGCTTCCCAATTTTCCTTTGGGGAACAAACCACCTCCATGTGGTTCAAGTGGAGCTGCCCCCACTCCTGAATTCCAGGAGTAGGCACTGATACTCTTGGATCCACTGGCCAGTTTTTGCAGTGATTGTTTTAATGATGGGGCATTTCACCCAAATGGGACAATGAGAGACTTTTACTGAATAACTGGGACAGAGGCCCTCCCTTCTGTTAGGGAATTGGTAGGTGGGAGTGTGAAGCTATAATATATTATGCCTGGACCCAGCTGGTAACTGTCTGCCTCTAAGGTGAGAGTCTATCTAAGACAGAAGAAAACACTAGATAAGTGGTAGTGAGAATAAAGAAGACATATGCTTGGAGACCGAGCTCCTGATTCATTTATATGAGGCAACAAATTCTCCTTTTTTTTTTTTTTTAAATCAGTTTGAAGTAGGTTTTCTATTATAAAAAAACAGTTAAAAAAGTTCTATGACATTGCATGGTGTTCAGAAAAGGCAAATATGCTAAATTGTTACAGAATAATTGGTTCTAAAGATTGAAGGATCATTATCTTCTTCATTCATCCTTTATATACAATGTCCTGATATCTGATATTATAAGCAGATATCAATCCAGTCTCTGCTTGCATTCTCACTACCTTCAGAGGAAGGTAATCGAGCCCATAATTGGAGAGTCAATGCTAAAGGAAATTTTTTTTTCTCATGAACTGTAAGAACCAACTACCCCCATGCCTGAAACTAAGACAAAGGAAAGAAGAATCTAATCTGATGACCCAAGAATTTTGTCCAAATTCTTGGCTATATAAGCAGAGAGGTCAAAGAAAGCTGAGTTTAGGGGTAGGGTAGAGCAAAATGCTTTGAATAAGATTGATGTATGTTTTTATTTATGAGAATTTGGGGGTCAGGGAGAGAGGGCTGGAGAGAAAGAAGGAAAAGAGAAAGGAATGTCAAATTAATATAGTATAATGGCAGTAAGACTTATAAGAACAACAATGTCTTAATACTAAATTTGGGAGGTTTTCTGTAGTTATGCTAAGTTCCCTCTTAGCATGCTAAATCCCAAGAATCGGGCCTCCCCAGCAGCACAGCAGTTGAATGCTGGGTTGTGAAGCTGCCCACAGCCTCTGAAGCACCAGTTCAATCCTCGGCTGCTCCCTGGCCACCGGAGGAGGGTCCCAAGTGGCACGCAGACCTCTCCTGCGGCCTGCTGCTCCCCTCAGCAGTGTACTTCGGTCCTTCTGCCTGTTCTGCTCCCTGCTTTGGCTCCGGTGATTTCTCTTACCCTCCCACGGTTCTGACTGTACCCAGTGCTTGTATAAATAAATAAATAAATCTAAAAAAAAAAAAAAAGAAATGGATATGGAAAGGAAGAATGATAGAAATGCAGGGAGGAGCAGGATGCTCTCGCTGCTCTCTAAGGATTGCCAGGGAACATATAGGAATTGCCCACATAGAGGTACAGTGAAATTAGGTGTTAACACTTTTGAAATTGGGCTTTGGGTGATTGAGGTCAGCTATTTTCAGTCCTATTCACAGATATACCTTTTGGAATGGGGGACTGATAGGAATAACATGTGTCTGGCCTGGGCACCTTGCTGCTTTGGCATTTGATAACTGAAACATCAGCAGCCTGGGGCACTCTAGCCATCACTCTACCCTTCAGGGATCAACTTTTTGGACAGGGATTTTTTTCTAGCTCCCAGAACAGCTTGAATTGAGAGATGGAGAATTGAATTTTGGTCCTTGGAATGCCAGGTTTAAAGCTCTGTAAACTTGAACCAAATAATGCTATGATCGCCTCATAATCTTTTCAAAAGGTTGTTTTTGACTTTCTAAATGGTCTATCCGGCTGAAGTAAGAAATAAAGATCATCCAAAATCTGATAATTTGGGGGAACCCAGATCTGCATGTTTCCAGTTCTTTTAAAAGACGAAAGCCAATCCAGACCCTGGGTTTCAGTACAGTGACATTAGGAGACTAGAGGAGGGGTATAGGGAGGGTTCTGGCCTTGAACATCAGTGACCACTCAGTCACCTGCCATGGAACTTTCCCATCAACAGACAGCAAGGAGTCTTGTAGACTGAATTTGGGTAGAGGAAATCAGGGAGGGGGGCCCAGCAGATGATTACCCTAACCCAATTGAGCATTTTTCAGCTTCAAGCGTTTTTACCCACGTTAGCTAAGTAACTGATGGCTTGTCCAAGTGGAGATGAGGGATGGCAGAAGACAGGAAGCTAGCTCGCTGTTGAACACGCTTCCAGAGTCTGCAGGCGACTGATAACGTGACTGCGAATACTAGCTTTGGATGTACCTAGTGGACAGGAGCTAATTGACAGGATCCTGGGACTGAGTGCGTGATGGTCAGCTGGTTTATCTGAGACAGTGTGATAAATGCCCTATTCAGTCTAGGGGCAGTCATGGTCAGAGAGACCCAGTCAGACCCCATTACTGATCTGATGACAAGTGTATGGGATATTAGCTGCTTTGCCACAGATGTCTTCTCTGGAGAACTGTCTCTGTCTCAGGAGA